ATCTAAAGGCCATTTTGGGGTGAGTGTTGTCTGGAATGTGTTTAGTACGGAGTGTTTATACTAATTGTACTTTTTTTATATCATTTTACTACTTTTGAATAAATTATGTGGATCGAACCTTTCCTTTCGCTAAGGCTAGGCTACAAAGTATCCCCTACATTGTGTCTTTGGCACCACCAACCTCACGCGATGTCACAACACGACTAACACTATTTTCGTCGACTGCTGCTAGCAGAAAGCTCAATGATCAAGTATCCCCAACCAAATACTCTTATATTTAATGAGGCTATGCCTTTGGTCCCATTGACTTCGCACAACTGAAAAACGGTACTCATTACTACATAGTGTTCTACAATTTGACGCCATAATTACAGAAATGTTACAAAAATAACATATAGTACCTACTTTACTTCCTCTGTTCGTATCAATCTAATCACAATTTTATCTAGAGATGCTAAAGTGCTTCTACCAAGTACCTACTGATAAACAGGGCGACACATGGGCCACTTTTGACTCCTCTATAAGTCAAAATCTATTGGACCGACACAGTTTGTTTCTTACAGATATTGCCAAAAGAGCCTTTGCCGTGGGCTTGCAAAGGTCAATACCAGAAACCATGCCAGAGGTTGGAAGGCAACACCGTTTACGGTATGAGGTATGAAAACCAAGTTTATGTGGGAGATTCTACTGTTGTGCAACATTTAATTACTCAATTATTCCAATTTGAAATATTCATTTGGCTTGGCCAAATGTCTGTCGATTGATAACTATCACGGTAAAATTATCTTGTAATTTACAAAATTAAATGGAACAACAAAATGCTACCGCCAGCAAAGTCGTGCCATAACTTTGTATCCGAGACGTGTCACTCCCAAAAACACAAAACAAATCTTTTTCCCCAAAGATTTTTCTTCGTGTTTATTCACTAACAGTAGAGATTCTTGTGAAAGAGTTCGTCCAGAGAAGTACTACCACCTTACCTGTTTCTGCCGCCAAGCAGTAATATCAGTATTAATACGTTCCGGTTTTGAAAGGTAAGGGTGCTGGTAAAATTACAGGCACATGGGACTTGGCAACTTATGTCTCAGGGTGTCGGGCGCAGTGGCAGTGCCCTTCAGATCTTTGCGATTTAAAGCACTGAGTGGCACTGTAATGGTATGGACAGGCGTGAGCTTACCATCAGGCGCACGACTTGTTCGTCCCGTCACTTGATATTATAAGATTAAAATTACATTTTAAAATTAGAAGTTAAGAATGAATTGTTTGTTTTGAGATTGTTTGGAAATGTAAAAATTATTGAAATTTAACACTAAATTAGAATAGGAAATGAAACTATTTTTCCGGTTTTAAATCGCGTATATTTGTTTTTTCAAACAAACCGACGTTTCGAACCCTTTACGGTTCCCATAGTCACATAGTAGGTAGTCAACCGTTTGTTTCCGAGCGAAACACAACTTCCTCTCTATAGCGAGGAAAATGGTAGATGAAAGAAAAACAGCAACACATTTGCTTTTTTTAATCAAAATAAAGTTTACCTTCGGATGCATTGTGAATTTACACCTCATCAATTTTCTTGCTTGTACTTATAATTTTGTATGATTAAGTCTTCGACGCATTAAAATAATTTAATAAACACAATTACTAGTTATTATTGTCAATTTAGTGTTAACAATATAAAGAATAAAATATACTAACGGATTTATATTACATAAAATAAGTAGTGTACGACAAATCGCGTAGTTGAACGTGTCAAATTTTTTTTTCATCGAAAGAAAAAGTTAGTCCATCATCAAGTTCGAATTTCAAAAACATTTTCCACGCTAGCGTGCTTAAAACGCTTTTACGCGCAGATTTCTAATAACAAGGAAGCCTTTCCGAGGTTGTGAAGTAAAAAATATATTATTTATTTGTGACTATGCATTATAGTTTCCATATTGTTTTAGTATTATATATAATTTTTGTTTTCTTGTGCACATAAGCCCGCTATTTTTGTTGCTATGTTCTATACTTAGGTCTGTATGAAGAAATTTTATTTAGACATAAGCAGACCCTTATGTGTGCGTTTTCTTTTTATTAACGTGCATTATGTGTTTTTCATGTGCAATAAACGATTAAAGAAATAAATTAATTAAGTAGATTAATTTCTTATAACTTATATACTTAGTATCTCGAGTTAAAGGAATCCCATGAAACTTTACATTTAAGTTTAGGACAGTTGTTTTAGTTTCGATATTGGACCATGTAGAGGAGTTCAAAACTAAATTTGGGCGTATTGATTCGAAAATCCATCATAACAAGATACAAAATCCACAGACAGATCAAGCGATTAAGAATTTGCATTCAAGAAGATGGATTATATTTTGAACATTTGATAAATTTATTTTAATATCGTAGATAGGTACACTGGCAGCTTCAGGTTTTTTTTTTTAATATATTGTATAATGGAACTGTGTTCTTTTAACTTGAGATACTTTATAATTGGCCCTTGCGATCGGCATCACAAAAACTTAATCCTTATAATTGACCCTTTCGATCGGACAAAAATACAGGGTGTTTTTTTTTCACATTTCGTCTTTTCGATTTTCAGATGAGGCAAGCAACTTTTCTTCGAATACAATATTACTTACATTTAAAAATAAAATGTCATCAGGAACTCAAATATTCTATTTACAATATTTAAAGCACTTTCTCTCCATGTCCCATAGCCGTGTGACGCCCAGTACCTATACACATTTCTTGACAGTTCGTAGGACTTTATGTACCGAGCGAATGTATATAAATAATAATCATGTAAATAACCACGACAGTCTGAAAAAATCAATGTGAAGCTAAAGCCAATGTCACCTGAAATGTTACAGGGATCACGATCGGGGATTCCGTGTGCGAAATTAACTTTGCTGTCAATTTTACACGAAAAGTATGGTGTCATCGATTACACCACGGATTCAGCGATGTACCTAAGACCTTTCTCTATTCATAGCTACTTGGACGCAAAAGCCGACTGTCGGCGACGGGCGATAATTCCAAACTCCTGCATGAATCCAGTGACACCATCGCGGAGATTCGACTCAGGCACTGTGTATAAAAACAGGTACGTATAGTCCGTCCTTTAGTCCGCTCAATGCGAGCTAAAAATTTTATTTATGTCAAAGTCCTTCTATATGCGACGTCATCACAATGTTTTCACACGCCATTTCGAAAAGCCTCAGTGTGCGGGGTCTTCGGGTAGAAATCGAACCTTAGATCTCTACATAAGAAGCAAGCATTCTCCCAACTAAGGACAAAAAAAACGACGAAAAACACGACGACTCAAGTTACCCAGAAGGGTTAGTTGTAGCTTGTCCTAACTACGAACGTAAAAAGGATAGCAATATAAAATTAAGTGTAAAAGGAGGGTAGGTGACTTAACTGATTGATTACGGGAATACTAGATATCTAAATATTGGTATTTAGAACATCATTCCTGTACTTGTAAAATCAAAAGTGTACCTTAACGTCCTAAACATAAGGTCCATGTTTAAGATACGATTTATCGTATTAATGAATATCTCCATAATATAATTTGCCAGATTGCTCAATACCAGAATGGCTAACTGCTTTGTATAAGGTAATGGATAGATTGTACTTGATATGACAAAAATAACATATTTCTGTTTTAACATTATTCAAGCTACTTACCTGCAAGAGTGCCGATTCCTCTCCCAGTTAAGCCACTGCCGAATCTTGTTCCTTCTACTGCACCCATGGAAGGAGAAACAGTACAAAAGGTAATCCATGATTAAGCAGGGCTATAACAGCCTTGGTTAGATGCGGATATGTTTCACACACACACGTACGAACGCACGCACGCAAACATCAATACACACCAAAACACATCACGTAAGTTAAAAAACACGCCCACGTTTTGCTAGCATTAAATTTGACAAGATTCGCGTCACCCCAATCGGAGTCTGCCTTAAGTGTCAAATTCAAACGACTAACCATGGACTCTCGACAAGACTAGAATTCTTCTCCACTGACCGTTGCATTGGTCAAGTCCCTGTCCACAACTGTGCTATCATCAGCAAACCCAAAGGTACCTGCAATCAACATGTCATTTATATGTAGCAGAAGCAGGGTTGCGGATAGTACAGAATCCAGAGGAATCTAATGCCCAATGTTCGGAACTGTAGTCTTCTAAAGACCACTCGAGTCGAACGTTCACACAAGAAATCCGAAACATTAACTTTCATGCATTTACTGTAGGTGTGACAAAAAACGATAAATATACCTATGTAATTATAACTTATATTTGTAGATTAACGTGTTGTGGTAAGCGCGAGAAAATATAGAGAATCTTATATGCGATCTCTATGGTAGTTATAGCATGTTTACACAGAGTCGACTGCCTGCCGCCTTAAGCCCGGCGACCAATGGCAGGACGGTATGACAAAGGATCCTTCGACATCCCTACATGAAAGTGCACATAGACGGAATACATGCAGCAGTATCCTTAGACACGCTGAATTGTACTGTCGCGACATCGTGCTCAGACCTAGCCTCTCAGTTGTAACGATTGTAAGCATCCCGAAGGCTACCGAAGCACCCCGAAGGCTGCCGGCTCGGTATTCCAAAATTTACCGTAACTTTGTATTCATAGCTACGACTATTGTAATTGAAATTTCAACTAAACCTAATGTCATTAACACTGAGGTATATTACTATTGGTCACCTAAAAATTCCCTGCCGTGTGTCCCGTTATTGGTGACGGGCCTTAGCCGAGATCACCAAGTCATTAGAAATAGAAGCTTAAGCGCCGAGGCAACAGATCTTTAGAAACTTTCAACAAACTGATCGGGTAAGTAGATATTCTCCGCGCATCGTGGTGGATCGTGGCCGCCGAAACATGAGCAGTCACCCTACAGTAATTACACCCAGTTGACTCAGTCGAATTCAACAGCGAACTACAGTCGTCGAAGGACTCGAGTGTTTACACGGGTTCGGTTGCCGCGTTCGGCAGGCAAGCGAAGACGACCTAACGACCTAGTGGGCCATTACACAGAAAATTTTACAAAGCTATTCGTCCAACTTAATTTAAAGATTAATTTTGGTGCAACAAACATAAATGTGTAGGAGCCATCATTGTCTAACAACTAGGTTGTACCACTTTTTTCTGATCAACAGCTCTCATTCCTACCAAATCCGGTGTGCGTTACGCAACCGATCCGGCCATGCAACCACGACATGTGGGGCCAGGGCCCTATGCAGAACCTCACCACGCAACGTCACGATTATGTGCCAAAACCGTGCGCGATTCGAGAGTCGTGCAAACCGCCGGCAAAATTCCATGCTGTTGAACAACCTTTCGAAAGTAAGTTCGGGTCTCAAATCGAAAAAACTGATAGGACGTAGAGTTAGACACATAACATCTTAGCAATGAACTGAAGACAATCGAAAAAATATTTTTTATACTAAGATACAAATAAATACAAAGATACGACGCAAGCACATAGAAAAATACGTGAGGTCCGCCGGTTCGTTCCGTGGCTTAGTTGGTATAGCGTCTGCCACGGTAAGCTAGAAGACGTCGGTTCGAATCCGGCCGGATCGAAGGAATTTTTTCTGAGTGTTCCATCTTTGTATTAATAATTATAACAAATTAGTGGAATAACTTCACAAAAAAAATAATTGAATATCAATTCAATAAAAACTTAAAAATACAGTGAATAGCGACATCTCTCGCCAGAGCTGGTAACTGTAAAGATATCTAACTGGGTGATAAAACTTTCATAGATTTCTCGTAGATGGCGCTACGACTAAAAGTCGTTGAGGAAATTAATTACAAAGACGCAACCACAGACAAATTCATGAGGTCCGCTGGTTCGTTCCGTGGCTTAGTTGGTATAGCGTCTGGCAAGCTAGAAGACGTCGATTCGAATCCGGCCGGATCGAAGGAAGAGTGTTTGATATTTGTATTAATAATTATAAAAATTAAAATACAAAATAGGCGCCTTGACGTCGAATTGCGGATACCAGCCCATTACACCAAGTACCAAGTAATAATTATAACAAAGTACTGGAATAATTTCACAAAAAATTTATTGAATTCAATAAAAATTTAAAAATAGAAGTAGTAAAATTTTTCGTCCTTCGGGACAGGTCAAAGCATCTAGTCCATATTGCCAGACTTAAATTTAAATTGTTCTCCAATGATTTAATTTTAAAGCAAAGCCAAATCTTCGACATGAAATATACTACTCGTGTACACTTATAATTTCATAAACCATATCACCAAGGCGCTCTTTTTAGTTCTGCACCAAAATTCTATTATCTATGGTAAAAAAATTATTTCACTTTGGTTGTATTTTTGCGAATTGAAACAGTCTCCTTAAACGCGTCACTGTGTTCAAAATTCAAATTATTTTATTAAATACTATGTATCTCAAAATGTAACCTAAAAGGTACAAAGGCCATTACCATTTGGCAAAAAAGAACTATTTTTTAGACAATTTAAAATATCCAAACACTCTGCCTCCTGATTGGTTAAAATATAAGCGGTACTTGACCAATTACGAACACTTCTGTTCTATTTCTTTGGTTTTTTATTGTTTTGTAGCGTTTAAATATTGGTTGCGTTTCATTATTTTAATTTACTCATAGAAAAAGTATTGTATGCAATCATTACATAATTAGGTCTTAAAATCTCGTAGGCACGCCTTTAAGAACTCTCATTGTACAAGTATTGCATAAAATACTGCTTTGTGAATTTGACAAAATAGATTTAATGAGAAATAACGTTGCTGGTTTAATAAAATATAACACATGACAAAATTATGTTTGACATGAACACTAACTTTTATTTTCCATTTACTTTTAAATTTATTTATCACTTTCCCGTAAATTTTTTTCTATGTCTTTACTTTATTGTTGAGGGTGTGATGTGTATGCGCATTAAATTCCAAAGCGCATTACATTCTCTTAACACTATATAAACGTTTAGACAGCCGAATGCAATTCAGAGTGGACCAACTTTAATTTACTGTCAGGACCGGAATCTAAATTATATTGAAAAACACGTATATACTGTTAATTAAAAGAACTTGTAAAAAAATTTAAATAATTGCCTAGAAACTGGTTCCTGGAACATGTGATGTCGAGTAATTTCAAGTTTAAATTTTTTTTCAAGCACCACTCGCGTTAGTGTTATAATTATATGTATAATGCGTGTTTTTTAAGCATCATCTGATCTTTCTTGTAATCAAATGTAGAAACGCGTCAAGAGTAGAAAAAAGGAAACGCCTGTAATAGGTACTTTTTTTATAAAAAAAATAATATATTTATTGCAGATCGAACCGTAAACCGTTTGTCGTACATCGATCCGGGCAAAAACGCGATACCGAAGTCGTACGCGCCAGACAGATGCTATGAGAAACCTGCAGGTAAACCTTCTGTTCCAATTTGTATCAATAGACAAGTAGCTTATGGTCTTGGATCGTACAGATATTACAATAAAAATGGAACATTAATGTCAAACCTCTACACGCGCCCGCGCACTGTATCGCGGGTGGCACGGACACTCACATAGACAACCAGAAATTACACCCAACTCACGAGAGAAATAAATGTAGGCCATACAAATATTTCTCCCGCCACGGAAATCGAACCCGGGACGTCTGCGTGGCCGTCCGGCACGGTAACCGTTCGGCCACGGAGGCAGTTATAAAATAGTGGAATTTTATATTAATTTAACACAAAACCATCATAAGGACAAAAATTATATATACAATTATGTGGTATAATATAGATACTTCAGGTTTTTTTCAAGTATGGTAGCACCCCTGAACAGTATCACCGTCCCCCAATTGCTTCCGAAGCCCCTACCGCCCCTAAGACTCTACAGCGTCCATTGGGACATTGAGGATTGGGGTAGGGGCCATTTTGCGAAACTATGCTCCACATAATAAAAAAAAACTTGTCAATATTCATATAACGCACTTATATAAGAGCGGAAAAATAAATAAGGATTTTAAACAAACAATCGTATGAAAGAATGATGCAAGTGAAGCAAGAGAGGTTTGGCTGGATCGTGCAAAGTAGTGGTCGATGACCATTGACTACTCCAATGAGAATCCGTAGCCGTGAGTATATGTATATAATATACTATCAACAGAGTGTAGGTGGCTTGTTCTTGCCGCACAATGGCGTTCGAGCGCTTGATCATGTTTTTTTAGAAACAAGGCTTTCACAAAAAAAAATCTAGTTACGGTAGCTAGTCTCCGCTTACAAACTGGCAATTCTTCATTTGCTCATAGGATGTATGTAACCAAAAAAAACGACTATATTAAAAATTTTACAGCGATTAACAAAGCGGAAGTCTTCTTTTTGTATGCATGTGAAATGTTTAACCAACCATTATGAATTGAAACCAACAGCCAAGATGGACTGCGAGACAGTCCAGAAGATGTCGTACCAGCCGGTGTGCGTGCCAATTCCGCAGAAGCCGCCATGGGCCTGCAAGGGACAGTACCAGAAACCCTGCCAGAGGGTTAGGCTCTTAATCATGATGTATATTCAAATAGAACACGAGTTATTATAATTTAACATCATAATGTTTTTTACTACAATTTTTTTTTATATTATTTGTAAAATACTCCACTAGTTCGTTCGGTATATATATATTATATATTATTGATACAAATATTTCGTTCGGTCCGACAGAACTCTGCAATTAATATAGCAACATCTCTCGTCAGCCTCTGATAACTACAAAGTAGTGATGCAACAGACTTCTGCTTCCGCAACTCCAGACGTTCCGCACGATTTTTCACATCGTCACCGTTTTTGCTTCCGCAATTTTTATAATGGGACTTTTATCGGAAATTTATAACGTTCGCGATGGATCATTATAGGTGTACAGTGGAGCGAGTGGCAGTTGTGTTAAATTTGTAATTCTGAAATCACACACAAACCCTGCTTGAGACTGTTTCGTTGAAACCTTTGTATATTTTTTTTATATTTACATTTCCACTTCCGCATCCGCTTCCGTTTCTGCTAAGATTTACGTTTGACATCTGTTTCCGTTATGACACTTACATCTTTTCAACTTTCATAAGTTTCCAAGAGGTGGCGCTGAAGGCATATAATGCGGTACAAATAATAACCCTATATAAAGATCTTTTTTATACCAAGTGACAGGACGATCAGGTCGTGCGCCTGGTGGTAAGCGACAATCTAGAAACTTCGACCCGCTTCGGATGTCGTTTTTGCACTAAGTCCGATTCAAATCCGAGAAAATACGAATATAGTTTGTACACTAGAGATAATATTATGATCCCTGTGACATTTTGGACCGTCATTTCTCGGATTCGGATCATTCCCATTCTCCATCCGAAACCATTGCTGTCAAATAAGCAATACTCGACCAAAAGACGATGTCAAGTATGAAGCTTTATTCGCATCATACGTCTTTTAAATTGGCCGAATACCTACTACTTATTTTTATACTTATTACCAGATGACGGATGTCTGACGTGAGTAGACCCCCTGATACGAATCGGACGTAGTCTGCAAACGCTCTAACAATAAATTAAAACACAAGTTGTTTATCACCCTACGTATAACACGGTTACTGCTCACATATGTAGTTAAAACTTTTTTTATAGATCGAAGCCACAACCATCTACAGATCGTCTTTCCTGCCGCCGGGTGAAGACTGTACAGAGTATATCGATCCCTGCTCTTACGGAGATTGCAAACGTTAGTAATGTTTGTTTATTTGAAATTTAATAGTTTAGCCGCAATTTACTACTACATACGCGGATTTGCACTATCCCCCACGAAATGACATTTCTAAATGACACCTAATATTTAATACTTTAAAGTTTCCGTTTAATGTTTGCAACCTGTAGTTTTACAGTGCAAGATTTTGTAATAGATAAAGAAGAAAGTTATGAATACAACCAACAGAAGAAATGTAATTACATAAATTTAGTGAATTTGTTTGAGAATTTTGTTTTACGGTATTTATTAAATTGCTTTAATACAAAATGACAGGATTAAAAAATATGGCGCCTGATAATGCCTTTTGTGCGGTTGTAAAAAAACAAAGTATAGGATTCCGCTAAATGTGCCGATTTGTGTATAATTCGCACCTGCAGTTCCTTAAATTCCCTAATTTTGGCACTAATTTTCATTTGAGTAAGGAAAATCAATTTTAATTTTTCTTGTGCAGCGTGCACGTGCGTGTGCCCAGCGGAATGTATAGCGACGGACCCATGTGCATGTGCATGCACGTACCCGCGTGCTGAGTGCTGCAGCTAGCCGATAGCAGCCGCCATTTTCCGTCCAAATTCTAGTCAAGATGGCGTCGTTGCCTCATGAGACGTCAAACTGAACATTTGCTTATATTTTTATTTTCAATATGATCATGATTTGATATTACTAATACATTATTGCACATAATCGTTCTAGATTTGTTATAATGTTAGTAGGTTTTTCTTTTAATATTTTCTGAATTATAAGATTATGGAATTATGATATTAGAAATTGTGTTAAGTGTAGAATATTCTAGATTTTAGACATTGTATACATACATTTAAGAACAGTTTTGTCGGAAAGGTTCTGGTGTCCTATTTTTTACACCAACATTGTTCCTGAAGTTAACCTTCAACAAATCTGTTAGATTAACTTCGTTTTAGTTAATATTTCTTTTAAATTTGTAACTTTGTTTTGAAATACTTATGCTATATAAATAATTTAAATCTTTTATTTACACTTCCTCCTCTTCTTTTCGCTGTTTTCTCTTGGTCCAAATGGCACCACGAGAGGGCAAAATCTTCCTTCTCCAATCCACTCTTAATAAAACGTATGTAATTATATCCTATCCACAATATCGCTCATTATTAAACAAGGCATCTCTATGGTAGTACGGTAGGGACTTAAAAACTTACCCACCGTACCACCAGTGGTTCGCGTAGCAGTACGGTGGGACGGAGGGAGCACTTCCACTATTTTGATTTTTTTGTTATAACGTGATTTTTTGTTATAACGTGGCCAAAAACGGTTTGGCTTATTTGTAACATTCTATCTGTAGGTTCCCTTGTGAACTTCGCTTATAACTTACCTGCGTAAGCATTGTAAAGGATGACGGTATCATGGTTCCGTATTAAACCAATACTGTATTTGCCCTTGTTACCCTCTACTAGGTAATTGAATAAAATCAATATATCGTTTTACAAAATAATTATATATTTGTTGGAAACAACGTACAGAATTAGGAATATTCACTTTTACTGATATCGTAATAAATATTGTGACGCCAAGTTCACTGAAGCGAGTGAAATTGAAATTCATTGAAACAAGTTTCAAGTGAAATTGGAATTCACTGATTCAAGTGAAGTTGAATTCACTGAAGCGAGCGAAGTTGAAATTCACTGAAGCAAGTGAAATTGAAATTCACTGAAGCAAGTGAAGTTTAAATTCACGGGAGCTAGTGAAATTTAAATTTGCTGGAGTAAGTGAAATTTAAATTCGCTGGAGTAAGTGAAGTATATATTCACTACTTGAAACTGAAGTTCACATTTCCCACGCCATGATAGACAAAAGTTTACTTTAATATGCAGTCCATTATTGCTACAAAGATACCTATGCTGTGCTTCCAAGTTTGTAGAACCATACGGAAATTGCTTTTAAAGTGATTTTTAATTTTCTATTTCACCATTCCAAAAGTATAAAACACTACGTTGAATCTCACAATGGATCTGCCACGTTTTGTGTTCTGCCACGTGTAGTGTTTTTGTCAATAAAACTTTTAGTAAGGCTGACTTAGATAGATTGGAGTGTAGATGAACGCGACATCATAGATGAATTGAACAACATACAAATATAATGCAAATTGGACAACATGGATGAATTGGACAACTTATTGGAAATAAAGGCAAGATTTTGTGATCAGTTTAAGTGGAGCAGAGTGAGCTGACAAATGCGCGGCGTCATCCACAACAATGGCCATTAACCTAAAGTCCCCGGATGGTTCCAAAACGAGCAAATCACAATCAGTAATCAGTCTACTTGAGCCGTTGCAACAGCGTGGAATTGAGCAGGTTCGCCTGCGCTACAGTGGCCTTGGGGTCGGACAGCTCCGCGCTGGGGAACGACGTGAGGAGCGTGAATGGCTGCAATTGATAGACGGGCTCGGCGCGCTGCACGTACGCGGACAGATCTTCAACGGTGTGCGAGTGGTTGAACCGGCCGGTTATGCGGGAACCGTCTGCCAGTCGGAACTGAGAACGAATATTATCAAGATTAATACTCCGTTACGCAAGAATATGTGGATGCGGGGCATAACCTAGTGACGTCACATATATACCACAGACGCGGAACGCATAAAGTAATTTTAAATTATAGTATTAAAAATCTGTCTTGCATTAGCAACGGAATCAAAAGTCAGTATTAGTGCCACGACAAGTGACGTCACCAGTTGCGGTTTGAGTAAGTATGAATACATCAAGACATGGGCAATAACTTTGACTTTGTAGTAAGAAGCACTTTCAATTTCCAAATGACGTGACTTTTTTTTTTTTAATTTGTTTTGTTGTTAGATGTAGACCGAAATATGTACAGCGCCCCTAGCGGTCACAAGAAGAACAAAGACCTGCCATACATATATGTAACCTACAATTTCGGCGTTAAAAAGTCAATGAAACTATATCAATTGTAAATTAAATCATAGTAAGGCACGTCCATTAGTATTGCAGGTATAAAATATTTGACACGAGTACCAGAGCAATTAAATCACTCTGGGGCACTTCCCAGAACACCCAGAACAGAACCAATTTAGAAAAGTTCATTTCCCAATGGTAGCTTTAGGAATCGAACCCGGGAATTCCTTATCCAGCGCCCACAGTACAAAGCCTTGGGCCACCGTCAAAGAATACTGTGATGAACACCTTATTTTTATATTTACAACCTATAGGTACAACTAAAATTAATCATGTGACTACCCTACACTCCAAGCGAAGTGTAGGCGTTGATGCGTTGAACAGGCGGGAGTACTACTTGACTCATTAAACTATGCTATAGTGAAGGGAGACAAAAAGGTCTGTAACAGGGCTGCTAATATTGTGCTACAGAAAATGACAGTACCTGTATGGTGGTAGTGGGCTGGCTCTCGTCGAGGCCCACAGCCTGCTGCGCAGCACGCTGGTTTGCAGCACGGTCCTGCACGTCCGTTGCTACGGCCGCCGTCGCACCCACCGTTGGCGGCGTGGGGCTGGCAAGGGTTATAAAATGTGTTTACTCGTCTCTTGCACCTTCTAAGGTCCACCATGTGGCATGTACAGGGTACCGTTATCTACGAACGTATACCTACTTGGCTTATGTAAGTTTATTCAGGATGAAACTCAGCCTTTAGATATCTGTTACTATGGATCGCCGACGGAAACACTGACAGATTGTACAAAAATGACATGACAATGAGGGCGATGGGTTTTTGTATCCTATTTTTTGCTTTAAAATCTTAACGGAATCCTCCATTGCAATATTTATTTTTATGGAATATCAAGATGTTTCTACTACTGTAATATTATATATTTTGTAGCAAGTAAGAAAATGCTATAGCCTATCTTTTTTGAAGATGGAGTAAAATGACAGTTCATTGCGTAAAAGTGTTGCTCGCTTGCAAGCAGCTAGTGTTTGTAGTCAATAAATATTCTGACGACTATCGACTGAATGTAGGTCATGCTTACGCAATAATTTGCAGAACTTGTATCATTTGCATCATTATCGGCTTTGTCCAACAACTGGGCACAGGTTCATTTAAACGGTCGATATTTTGTTAGTTCATACACATATATACACTGCATTTAGAAGTATTTCTATTAAAAATATAAAGATAAGTTTTTCATTTCAATTCCAGATCTATAGATAACCAAATCCGCCTGTTCTTATTAAAAAATATATGAAAAAACATTAATTTCGATACTAGTAGGCCAACTGTCACAATAAGAATTAAGTTTTACCTTCTTTTAAAATCTATCCATAAAACTATCGACAACAACTTATGACC